ATATTTATATATAAAATTTTATTTAATAATTTTAAATTTTTAAAAAAGTAGATCATTACTATATTTGAACTATTAAGCAGGCAAATTTGCCTGCTACAGTCTACAGATTAAGGGATAAATATTATAACTTTTTGGATTTTTTTTATTAAAATGTCATTTGTATATCCTGGAATTAATAAAACATTCAAAAATTTTGTTTATGATTTATTAAAAATCAATTTTAAAGATTTTGATAAATCTGCAAAAAATGATCATGAAAAAAGACTCAAAGGCAAAGTCTTTGAATATTTTCTTTATGAACTAGCAAGTCATAATAGAATAATCATTGAAATGAACCAAACTTTCATTTTTTTTTCTAAAAAAATTTATAAAAAATTATCTGATGGATGTGCAAATCTTCATAGTAAGCAATCATTTACTTAGTATTAATCCACTTTTACAGTTGAGTGAGCAAACAGACTGGTGGTATCTATTTGTAGTGTAAATTCTATGAGGCTCAACTTGTTTGAATCACCTATAAATTTAATAAATATAAACTAAATATAGAAATATTGTTATTATAGTTGAGTAAGAAAACAGACTGGCAGTGTCTATTCATAGTGTAAATTCCATAAGGCTCAACTTGTTTGAATCGCCTATAATACTATTCTTGAGGTTTTAGAAAAATGATATACTAATATTTTTTTTAATTAGGTCAATATCGAGAATTACATTGGTTTATACAATGTAAATACAAAAATGGAAATTATGAAATCTATATATCAGAAATCAGAGAATTTTTAAATACCACAAAAAGAAAAACAAATTACCATATTGCATTTTTTGTTTCTAATGTAAAATTAACTAATTATGCAATTAATGAATTGGAAAATTATACTGGTGATAAAGATAAAATTTGTATTTGTTTGATTCAAGATTTTATTCCAAAAGTTCATGAATATGAAAAAATGCTTGTAAATAATAAGATTAAATTAGAACAAAAAAAAACTAAATGCTTAGAATACGAAATAGAAAATAGAATCTTAAAAAATTATAATGAAAAATTAGAAAATACAATTAAAGAACTAGAAAAAAAACTTGATGATATTAAAAATCAAAATAATTTAATTTTAGAAATTTTAACTAAAAAATAAAATTTTGTTTTAAGACATATGAATATATAATCATAAATAATTTAAATCTGATTGATTGTCAGATATGTTTTTGTAGTTATAAATAGTTTTAAGATAGACTTTAATTTTGAGGTTTAACTCACTCTTTATAGTTTGGTTATATTTGATTGTATTCTTAGTTGATAGTTATTAAACTTTCTTGTTTGTATATAAATGTCAAAGATGGATAAGATCATTGTAGTACTTGAATTTACTATCTCGGTAATACTTTCTCTAAGATAGTTTCTTTTATTTACAAGAATGTTTAGATACTTGCTTGTTCAAGTCTTAGACAACTTTTTTTTTTCAAAAGATACTTTTTGTCTAAAGTTTATTAGAATATTACAAGGTTTAGTTTTACTAACAATTACTCTTGTATATCAATTTATCATATGTGTTACATATTTAAAGATTTTTATTCAAATGTGAAAATATTTGAAAATCTATTCTATTTTAATATATACAATAAAAACCAAGATTATACAGTACATGATTCACATATAGTAGCAGTACATTTGAGTTTATTAGAATTTATATCTAGAAAGTGAGAAAGTAACATAGATCTAATATAATAAACAGTTTTCAATCTGTTTTTCCATGCTCTGATAAGTGAATTAAAAAGATGTTGAATCATTATTTTAGGATCATTGGAGATAACATAAATGTTTAGACTTTGTGATTGGTCAATATATACTCCATGATCAGATGCATGATCAATTATTACATTTTATGAATATTCAAATGCTGTCTTGTATACCTTTTTTATTTTTTCTGAAAATTGGGTTAGATTTTGAACACTACCATTGTTCATTTAATCTTATCAAGAATATCATTTGACCAAAGATTGTGCGAGATAACATCTCTGCTAACTCACGTTCAATATAAATGAAAGCTTCTTTTGTAGTTTCACAAATAACAAAATTTGCTTCTTCTTGAAATGGGTTTTCACTGAATCCTGTACTAATACATTGAGATGTTGAAGCTGTTGGCATCAAACTGATCAGTAATGAGTTTCTGACACCATATTTTTGAATCTTTGCTTTTAATCCTTCCCAATCAAGTTCATCACAAGAAGCAGCATTCCATAAATCATATTGCAAGATTTTTTTTAAAATAGGTGACCTTTCATATTCTTCATATAGACTATATTTTCTTTGCTAATTCATATAATTCTTCTAATGCTGCATAATAAATATAAGCAAAGATTCTTTTGTTGAGTTCATATGCTTCATTGTCTTCCCATGATAATTTGAATTTTTTGTAAAGAGTTGCCAGACCAATCACTCCATTAGCAATTGATCAGTCATTCTTGTTTATGACTTTACATTCATTTAGTAGATAATATGTAAGATCGATTGCTCTATCACAAGAGTTACAAGAAGTCAGACTGAATCTTGTAATTCTATAAAATCAAATGTATTTTTTTTTAAAATATGTGTTGGGAGAATCACTGCTCATAGATTACAAACAGAAATCCCATTTGTACGTTCAATGATCTCAGTATATAGATTTGTAGTTGTTGCTGTGCCAAGATTCATTTGATTGGATTTCTTGTTTGCATTATCAATAAAAAAGATGAATGGTTCTCCTGTTGTGCATTGCAA